TATATATATAAAAGCATAATTATGAGGCTACGAAAGCCAAACGAATTTTATTTTATAGCGATCATACACTTGTATAAACATATTAATGGGTAGAATATTCAGATTCAGATTCAGACTGACAATAAACCATGCCAAATATTACACACTGGCCCTTTAAACACAGCATTTTTGTTTTGCTCCCATTTTTCATAGGTTTAAGCTAAACATGTAAGACTTTTTTCATGCACTCAATAGACATAATTTTTCTCAAATTTTGCCACAAATTTGTTAAAATTTGTGTTGATGAGCACTTCTCATTTTCCAAGATGATCAATCTACCTGACAGATGTGGCATATCAAGATGCTGATTTAACACAACATCATTACAGCACAGGTGTGCCTTGGGATGGTTGCAATAAAAGGCCACTCTAAAATGTGCAGTTTCATCAGATAACACGATGCCTCAGATGTCCCAGATTTTAAGGGAGCATGCCATTGGTATGCTGACTGCAGAAATGTCTACCAGAGCTGCTGCCCATAAATTAAATGTCCATTTCACAACCATAAGATGCATCCGATGTCTTTTCCATTAATTTGGCAGTACATTGAAAAATGGGAGCAAAAATAAAACAGTAACAAAAAAAAGAAGGACATACTGTGCTGTGGCCTACATAGCTGAGAGTAACTATTCAGGGATTTATTCAGGCACACTCAGTGCTATTAATTTTGCATTTTCCTGTAACATATTTAAATTGCCTTTTGACTATCTGGCACAGAATGAATAGAAACATCCCTCTATGTTATATCTGCCTCATTCATTTTCTATGCATCAATAGATTTTGTCCATGGTAATAATTGTGATAAAAAACCATCTCACAACAGTTTGGGTTAACCATTGCTTTTTGCTTGTACTGCTGTGAAAAACCATATTAAAAAAAACCATACATACTTATCTCTTGGCTTGTTTGATTCTGCTGTCATGAAACAAAATGCACAAGTGTTGGAGCATAGGAACTCAGCTACATTCTGCCCTCTGGTTTTAGAATATGCCATAACTCAAAACCTAGGCTTGTGGTAAACTTGACAATATTCAAGCAAAAATCATTTCATTTGCATTTAATCTGTACTATCATTCACATTCAGATGAAAAAATTCTGCTTGGGTTTCACACTCAGCCTTTAGGCTTTCAGCAGTTTCCTTGACTGTATAATTTTGCCACCCATACCTGAATGGTTTCACCTTACCTGAACCTCTTCAAATCCACCTCTGTCGAAACAGGAAAAACTTTATCGAGGGAACAATCGCCCAAGTCTATCGCCAGCCAGGAGTTGCATAGAAAATGCCATTTCTGTTCCGTCTGTAGGTCCTGTACCACGACATTGCCTACATACCTGGAAAAAACACAAAGAAAGCAAAAAGGTAAAAACTTTTTTTTTTTTTATGTCAAAAGTCAGTTTTGTTTTGTTTTCTAAACAGACCTCAAGGTGGCAAAATGTTTTGTTCGGAGCACTAAAGTGACAACTTAATTGTATTTGATGACTGTGTTCTCTTACCAAAAAAAAGAAGAAAGGAGAAAAGAAAGAAACAGTAATTATGGATAACTGTGAGCCAAAACATATTGTACTCACATTATGTTCTAAGTCATATCAACTACATCAGAGGAAATGCTATGGCTTATGTTATATTGCAATAGCTTCTAATGGGATTGAAAAGTACACTTTTAAGATGCTTTTCTAAATGGCTCTGACACATTTACCTACCAGGAAGGATGGCTCCCTGAGTTGTTGTGCCACAGTCTAATGCCCTGCAGATCTCCCAGGGAGAAGGGTGTAGCTAGCAGGAACACATCCACTGCTCCTCTCTCAAACACACGTTTCTTTGGATCTGTCAGATGATGTGGTTCACTGTTTCCCTCTGCACCCAGCAGAGTGATTGTCACCTAAGATAGTTCAGTTGTCTGTATTTTAAAACTGAAAAGTCCAAAACAAAAAACTTACAAGTATACAACCTCCACTTTGACCAATAAACAACAACAAACCTTAAAGGGAACATTCCCCACCTTTTATGCCTATGTCCAATTAGTGCTGATGGTAAATGTAGTCCACTGAAGCAATAAATCCCTCAGTGCATGCTATACTGACCAAGAAAGCCCAGTTTCCCTGCTCATGGAGCCGTGCCAGCAGTGCAAACATCGTCCATAACAGCCTCTGCACTCATATTTTGAGACACCACTGTTGGAAACGTAGCTAGTTGGAGCAGCAGCAGCAGGAAGAACAACAGACCTTGCAGCTGCAAACTCAGCTTTCCTTGTCAATATAGCATGCACTGAGGAATTTATTGCTTCAGTCTACTACATTTATTAACACTGACTGGACATCCACATAAAAAGGGGGCACTCACTTTTGGCTATTTAGTGCAATTTAATTAAAAGTCGTATGAAACTCTGCAAAGTTCAAGAGACTGTGTGATGTATACAAAAAATGAATATTATATCTGCCTTTCATTTGGCCGATCAGTGTAATTATGACAATGTCAAAACAATCCACTGTAACACATTGTTTGAGAACTTTTTCTTAGAATTGATTCAATGACATTTAACATATTCTCTCAGGAAAAGTCAAATACACACTCACCAAAGTAAGTCTTTTAAATTTTGGTTTAGACTTAAACAAATATTGATTATCGGAAGACTGAATAAGGAACAAGAAAGCTTGAATGATTTGCTGGTAAAAACACTTCTAAAAGGTTCACAGATAAAAGCTCCCCCCTGTAAAAATAACCAACTGAGTTGAAAACAAAATCTAAATGTATCCATTATTAATTGATGCTGTAAAAATGTATTTACACTGGCCACATAGCATAAGAACAAGCTGGTGGTCTCCATTGCCTGTGCCACTACAGACATAAACCAAACACAAATTGATAGTCGAAGCAGAAGTAGCCGGCTTGTGGTTAAAAGGTGGAACTAAGAGCAATGAAATCACTTGATGAGTAGCCGTCTGTCCTCCATTTAAAACTATTCAGGCAGAGATCTGACCCTGCACTTGTTTTGCCATTAGCTGTTTGGTTTATGCTTCACAATCACTGGTTCATTCACAGCTTTGTAGCTAATAACACAAAGCTCCCTCCACCACCATAGCTAGGGCTGAGCAAAATACTCAGATGAAACAAGTATCCTGTGTAGATACTGTACTTTATATAAGTACATGTTTCATCTGCAATAATAGTGCCAATATCTGTACGCGATGAAGGAAAATCCTCATGAGGGTAGCTGTTTTCAATCTCTTATTCTTGTGATCAAAAATGATCTGAAGCTCAATCTGGCAATTGTTCTGTTTAGAATTTTCTTAACTTCTGATTTAAAGGGGCTTTATTAATGTGGGAAACATTTGCATTGCTAAAGCAAGTGTGAAATGAAAACAAAAATTGTGCATATAACAAGTAAAGATCTACTGGAGCAATTGAGATAAACTGTAGCAAAATGGTGCACTCTGTTTTCAGACTGATCGTGCCCCCAGGCTTAAATAAAGGTAGGATCTGGAGGATTTTCAAACAAAACAAAATATAGACATATACAAATGAAATCCTGCTTAATCATCACCTATGGGCTTCTACTCATGTGTGGTGGTGACTCTGTTTGCAGAGCTCCTGCCCTTTAACTCTAATTGTACTTCGGGGCGGAGATTTCCCCAGCCAATGAGAGAGCGCAAGTGCCATGCCCGAGCGTGTCCGAGCATGTCCGAGCGTGCACCAGCGCGAGCCTTGCCTGAACCTCTTCTGTGAAGCCTTCTTCCGTACATCCGGGCTTCGTACACCCGGGAGAGTTGAGCCTGATAGGAGGGGCCAAATTTGTGTGTGTGTTTACAAACAGCAACTGGAAAATCCTCCAGACCCTACCTTTAAATAAGGACGCATTCACACTGGTGCTATTTGGTCCACTTTAAATGAACCCTGGTCCACTTCCATGAATAGTTTGGTTCATCTGGAGTGGTGTGAATGCTCATTCAAAGTCTGGTGCGGACCAAACAAGCAAACCCTGGTCCGCTTGAAAACTGGGGGTCTCGGTTCACTTGCAAGTGGACCCTGGTGTGGTTCGCTTACAGTGGGAAATGCAAATGGACTATCCAGTGAACCAAAGAGAGGAAGTGACGTAGAGCACAGTGCATTTTGGGGTGGAAAAAAACAAAGCCAACAGTGCAGGCTGGGAGAAAAAGTTTGAAAATGTCTTGTGGGCAGACGTGGAGTAGTGAGGAGGTGCAGGCACTTATTAAGATATGGTCAGAGGACTATATATCGCAGTTGCTTGTGGCTACCCACATTGGATTTCTGTTTTCAGTCCTGGCCAATCGATGAGCCAAACTTTTTTTCTTCCTCATGCTTTTTTTTTTTTTCCTCGTCAGTGGTTGTTTCGGGCAGTACCACCCCCCAGATGAGCAGCTGTTGTAACTGTGTGACGTTGTACAGGCTTTAAAAAGTGCAGTGTAAAAGTGAACTGAACCAAATGAAGGTGTGACATTTTTGGGCATTCCCCGCCCAATCGAACCGAGTCCCGATACAGACAATTTAGTTGATTGAATAGAAACAGATACAGATAAAGGTGTACTAACTCATCCCTAACCCTAACCTCCTACTTACGAGGTATTGTTGTTTTACTTAAAATGTAATGTCCATGTAATGCTTCTTAAAAGGATATCAGCAGAATCCTTGTTGTGGTGCAAATTCATTGCAGGCTCCTGCCAAATCTAACTTTAAATATTTGCTATGCACTAATATCATATTTACCTGAGAGGAAGTGGAGGCTCCTCCCCGGTGCCCAGTGCTGACACTCAACAGGTAGCGATACTCGTCCATGGGATCATTGTCCTCCAGCACAGTCACCTTGACCTGCCGACCAGCCAAAAACATAAAGCATGTTTCTTTTAAGATGCTTTTTGTATGTGGGGTTACATTTTATGTTGCTTTATTATTTTTTTTTATTATACTCTGGTACTGAAGATATACTGTACCTTGGCCGTGTCTTGAATGTCTTTTCTTCGTGCCCACACAACCACCAAGAGATAGGCCACAAAGAGAGACCCCACAAAGCAGACAACCACAGGATTCTCAGCAAAAGTCGCAAACAGCTCAGCAGTGCGTGATGGATCCACAAGGTTGGGAGTGACGAAGAAAGAGCTTCCGAAGAAGGTGAGGTGGTTGCAGAGGCACACTGTGACTAAATGTGTGGTTTCTACACCGACCTTGGAAGACAGTAAAAACATTTATTGTCATTAAAGTTTCAGAGACATGTTACACTTGACAGACAGATTGAATTACTGCACTTACCCTGCATCCATAACTGCTCCAATCCAATTTTGACTCATTCCAAAATTTGCATGCTGTAGTGATCGAGGTAATTGTTAAACTGGCATTGATGGATTTTATACCTGGGCCTACAATGGGCCTCACTACAAGATAGTGCATTCCAGTGTTTCCCTTTAAATCTTTAGGGTCTAGCAGCCAAGTGTATCTCTCCTCTGTACAAGACATACACACAAGTACTCAGATAAGTATCAAATCAAATTTAAAAGGCATTAGAGTAAAAACATGCCATCTCCACCATGAAGCAAAGGGATTTGTTACCTGGTGTTGCTCCCTGATGAGGCATCTCTGTCATTGCAACATAATTGGTTTCAGTAGGGTAGGCCATATAACCCAGGAGCAGTTTGAAGGGTAAAGGATCATTTGAAGGCACCATCTTTAAAACATATATTGACAGAGTTGCAACAAAATGATGAGTGCATAACTTGATGCGTCCAGAAAGTTCTTAATTTAAAGACAGAAGAATAGCAATTATATTCCAGATTTTTTTCCCAGCATTTTCAGATTTTCCTCAATTTTTAGACTCACGATACCAAAAAAAATGGCACAATTAACAAACAATCAAATCAGTAATAGTAGAAGAATTTATGATGTTGGCAATTGTGGTGGCCATGCAACCATTTCTCAATCCAGGGCATTAAATACCAATGCTTTGTCAGACCCCTTGTCATTTTATAGCAATACACACTGCATCCTTTAGCATATCTATAGCCCTTTGTAGATAGGAATAGTGCACATTTGCAGGAAAGCCCAATCAGTCTTTTTTCAGCATTGGCAGTATAAAAACAAAATCAGGGAGTGTGGCAAAATGCCGCCTACCTAATTTTGTTTATACAGAATGTGCCTTTTTCGGGGCAATGGGGGGCGTAAGAAAGTAACAAAACGTGTAGCTCAGTGTGTGACGTAAACAGTGACGTGGGAGGGAAGCCGCAGCTAGTCAGTCCTTCGGCAAGTCTCTCTTAAGTTGGCCCGTTCTTCGCCTTCCCCGTCATCTGACGGTTAATGGCCTCTTCATTTGCAAGGGCAATGTAGAGTCTGTATAGAGACTAGGTTATATGTAACATGATGGTAATACGTCATGTGAGTGCCTATTTTTGTCAGTGATGCAAGTGCAAGACAATTATACGTAAGTTGCATAATATTATGTCAAAACAGTATTGACTTGTGGTTTCACACAAGACACAAACAGCTTCCTGGATGAAAGTCTGGTTTTGTTTGACCCACGCACCTCCCTTTCCTCCCGCCCTAAGCAGTATTTCTTGCTCTTTATACTAAGTCAGTTGCTCTGAGCCTCAAATACTGCAGCAAATGGGTTTAAATTGGAGTTAGCCCACATGCTAAAGGGTGCCTTTGGCATCAATGTCAGACACTGAGGGCATGACAAAGTATTGGCATTTGACACCCTGGAAATAAGAATGGGAAGTGTTTTGCTAGTAATACAGCCAATGTAATAAATGTGTCAAAGTAAACCAAAACTGATGTGAAATTAGTTTTCTAAGGTGCTGATTACACGTCTCAGAAGTGGAGGTAAGAACATCTTACTGCACCTTTAACACCAATGTATTGTCAGCTACAGGAATGTCTATGGTGGTTGTGCTGTAGTTTCCCAGGTCCAAAACCGAGGTGTTCACCTGCTCTCCAACAGGTCTTGGCAACAGAATCTGCGGACCAGGCAAAGTGCTAGAAATACATCCAAATAACAAACTCTGTATACAAATATAAAATGATTCTCTGTACCATCTGCAGATTGTAATCTAATAAAACATTTTAACAAGCAGGCGGTGCAATTAACAGAGTGTGCTCTCCATGGTCATCATTTACAATATTGTTCTATTTTCTCATCTGTCCCATTAGTTAGAATAGTGTATAAGATATAAATGGCTGTATGGGTTTGGTATTTACAGTCTTTTCATTGTGTTTGGTGTTCTATTGAAAGCTGGAGAAGGGAAAACAGTGTAGTGTAGTTTATTATATATGATATAAACAACATTTAAAGTTAAAATTTTGTATTTGAATGTGTGTTAATAGTAAAAGTATTACAACATAGCCTCACTGCTAACATGAACAAACAAATAGACTTTCTGTTTGTCTTCTACTGTTCACACTTTGAAGTGTTCTCAAATGGTCTTGCTCATGTGAATTTAATGACTCATGACTCCCAAACAGTAAACAGCTGAGACACTAATCTTGTGAATGAAGGTTGAGGCCTTAAAATTCACTGAGGCATTTCAAAGCTGACAGCATGCAGCACACCTGGGGTCGCTGGATACAAAGTGGGATGAGTAAGAATCTCTGTTCATGCATTAAAGGCAGGCGTGTTATGCACTGCCAACTCCTCTAATCCTCTTTAACCTGAGTGCTCTCCTCGTGGCTGGGGGGGCAATGAGTCTGTTTTTAATGAAGTAGGCAGTCCTAACCTAGCCTAACTGATATATTGACTGTTCTCTTATGAATCTGCTTCAGCTTATCCCAGTGGTCTTTGCAGCCACAAGCATCTCTAACCCCAGGTTAAGTGCTCCGTTCATGCTACTGCTAATGAAATACTTACTTATGTACTGTACGCTGTACATTGTCTGACCTTTTCATTTCATAGAGTACTCCATACAAGCCACTTGAGTTGATTGTTCAATCTGAAGTCTGTTTTTGTTAAAAGGAGGTATAGACCTGTCCCCACAGTCAACATGCTCTCAACAGGAGAGCACAGCGTAAAACAATCCCCACTTGCTGCACTGACCTCGACATCCTCACTCAAGTTCTCCACAGGGATATCGGAGCCATCAGTTGTTGTGAGGGATAGAGCACCTATTTGGCCACTGATGTTTCCTCTTTCATTCCAGGAAAATGGGTTTTTGTCTACGCTCAGCATCTGTAAATATGTTTAGAGTGCAAAGTAGGTTTAAGCCCCGTTAGCAGGTCAGACGCTTCAGAAAATTGAGAAAAACATAGCATATAACATGCACACCATCCTCTGTATTTGTAGGGAAGGTGTCCTGAGGACAAAGACAACAGTAATGTTGAGAGTTAATAAAAAAATATCTGTAGCAAAGTAAATGCACTAACCAATGAACCACAAGCACATGACAAATTAATGCATTAATATATCAGAGAAAATTGATGCATCATTTTGAAGTGCTGACTCTGAAAATCAACAATCGACATGAATACGGGTAAACACATCAGCATTTCTGACTCACCCTTATATCCACTGGTTCATCTGAAGGTAACACATCAGGGGGTAGTTTTGGGAGAGAAAATGATGGGCTGGAACTGTTGGGAATATTTATAGACTCTGTGTGCAAACTTCCAGGTGTCACTCTGAGGGACAAAAAGTAAAGAGACTCATATAAGTTAGTTAGTTAGTTAGTTAGCTGAATGGTTGGTTGGTTAGTTAATAGTCAGTTGTGTTTTTTGTTTTCAGTTTTAGATTGCTTGTGTTCTTAGGACTACTGTTCAATCTTTGGGGATCTTACCCCTACATGTTTTCAGCACAGAGCCAAATGATTTAAAAAGATGTGCAGGCCAGAGGTATTACTCTACATTTTAAGTGCACGTCATTCATATAGGCACTTTGTCGCACTCTACATTTTTTTGGTAAAGGCAGTAACAAACTGATAGCCGACATTTGAACCCAAAGCAACCCATATTTCTTACATCATTTAGAAATCTCCCAGCACAGGGAAATACTCGTATAATCCCCATCTTAGCCATCTTCATATCTGTCCAGTAAATGTAGCCTACAGCTACAGATGTTACAAATGGTTAGCTTATTTGAGCATTAAGACTTGAAACTGGGGAGAACTGGTAGCCTGGCTCTCTCCAAAGAGAAAGAGCACCCACACAGCTCACTTAGTAACAGCTTATCTAGTTGCAGTGTGTTAGAGGAGCTGGGTGGGAGCTTTGGCTACCTTCAGATAGAACAATGTTAGCTGTGTCCCCTTGTTGTCAGTCATTATGCTAAGCTACAGTAACCTGCTGCTGGCTATAGACTTATATTTACCACAGAGACATGAGAGTGCTACCTTCTCATCTAACTCTCCACCACATAGCAATTAATAGTACTTACAAAAAAATTGTACTATTGAAAGAAGTCTATCCACTGTATATGACAACCGTGCTAAAGGACTTACCTATGAACAAACACACCAATATGAGCTTGTTGGATGATAGTTGGCCTCTGGTGCACATCTTTAAATGCTAACAGTGCACTCTGTGTATTGCTCAGGGCAAGGAGAAGGGCATCAGAGACATTCCTCTGCAAAAGATAACACAAAGCATTCATGTCAAGAGAGAGTTGTTCTGTTATAAAGGGTTAGAGAAAAAACACCATCAGCACTGGACATAAGGTTAAACAACTTACACTCGAAGAATAGTGCAGGATATTGCTTATTCCTTCCACAATGGTGCTGGCTGCAGTGTGTATTTCATTGATATTTTCTTCGCTATTGGTAATGTTCATGTGGAGGAGGGATGAGCTGAGGGCTGCAAACAATAACGAAGCCTCTTCCTGTAGTGTGGGAATCAGGGCTCAAAATTACAGACACTTTTGTAAGATTTTATGTTAGAAGTAACATTTTGTATAATCAAGGACATGATAACACTCTCCTGATATCTCACCTCTTACAGTAATATCCTGCCTCATATACACATACAACTTACAAGACTGAGTTAACCTTGTCCTTCCAATGGCTATACATTGACAAAAAGCAATAAGCCATGGTTAAAACGGCACTTGACAGATTTTTCCTCCTTCCCACAAAGTGTGATTCACTGGACAGTACCTGAGCAGAGGTGCTGAGTTCAGTGCCTTTCTGGACAACAGCAGTAAGTCCTCTGGTGGTTGCTTGAACTTCATCTGGAGTGTTGATGGGAGCTGCTTTTACTATGTTATTCATTATGTCCAGCATCTTCTCACGAAGCTTCAACAGATAAAACCATGACATTTTGTTATTAGTGTAGTATTTAGTTGTACAATATCTTTAACCAAATGAAGATTAAAAAAAGTCTTCCATGTAAAGACAGGCTGTCTCTGTAGGTTGTACTTAGGTTCATGGAATTCTACTTATTTGAGTCTTGAAGAGGGGTGTCAGCCACACACCTCAAGGGGGGCAGACACAGTAACCTATCATACATGCCTTTACAATCACTGTTGGGCAAGTTAACTGAAATTGTAGGCTAATCCATTACCCATTGAAAAGTAATACATTACTTTATTAATACTCAACAGCATAAGTGGTTGCACTGCTTGTCATGGGGTTTGCATTGCTCAGCTCAGTTCCATCCATTGTTTCCACTTCCCCTCATAAGCACTGTCAGTACTTTTATCAGCTCCTTTACCCCAGTCAGTTGTCAGTATTTTTGAAATATCCTGGTTGTTTATGTGAGCATCATACCCTGATTTCAGAAACCTAGATAAGCCCTTATTGTCATGGTTTTGAGAAACCTGGCTATATTATGCGGTAATCTGATAAAAACCAGATAGGTGTAATTCAAAGTGAGATTAGTCAGGCAGTTTTTATTTGGAAATGGGTTTCCAAATGGGTTTTCATGTGAAAATTGACTTTAATTGTTACAGGCAGCCCCATGACAGCCGTTTATGAGCATAAAATGGCTATCATTTACAGTCTCTACACGGCCATGATCCCTGTTGCCCTGGACTGTCTTTCCTTGTTTAGGCCACATAGTCAACTGTGTCTAGAGCAGAGTTTTTCATTCTATGAAGATAGCTCTCTTTCAACCTAGCTAGATCGCCATTGTAAATTATGCCGCAGAAATATCCTAGTCGAGTTTGAAATTGGCAAAAGAGTGCCTTTCACAGCTACTTTCAGTAGCATCCCTCCTTAACAGATGTTAGTGAGTGACACAGATTCTCAGGTGAGGGAATTTTATAAATGCACTCTATCCACATGTATGTAACGTTACAGTTACAGAAATGCCACCAAATGAAACCATGAAGTTACAGTAGCCCTGACTCTATGTATCATGTAGCTTTTTTTTGCCATGTGAACCTACTGTATACAAGTGATGCAGAAAATTTGAGCAAAAATGCGTCTTTTTATTGACAAGGTTGTTTGTGCTTTTACTGAACTACCAAGTGTGTTTTTAGTGTTCTCTTCTTCATTTACCTATGCTTGCATGAAAAGAAGTCTTCCAAAAAAATTGCAGATAGCATTATACATTAATAATTCTTTAAATAATGAATCATTATGTGTTTACTTGCATATGAAATGCAGTATAATTTCCTCAAACCATATCATAACGTTACCACCTTGAATTGTGTTTGAAGCCTTGATCTTGATGTACTGAAGTCTGTTTTATGCTGCTGCTATATTACAGGTAATACTAGAATAGTGATTAGAAAATTGATCAGTCTATTGGTATTCATCACACAAAATATTCAGTCTATAAAAATCATTTCACTTTGATTTGCCCAAAAACTTAATTGATTTCCATGTACCCTTCATTACAGGATAATGTCAGCATACGTCAATTAAGTTCTTGAACATGATGTTTAAATCTGCCGCATCATATTTAAAGTTTATGAGCTGTAGAATGTGCAGTCGTCATGTTATAATGATGCTAATAATAATAATAATAACTTCTGAATTCACAGTTTTCTGCCGGCATTTCTCTCCTGCCTTAATTGAAGCAACAGTATCGCTTTTTATTGTTTCAGTTTTGAGAGTCAAACACGCATGTTTTGACTTGTTTTATGGCAATGCACTCAGAACAGGAGGTAGAGAGTCTGGGTTAACAGAGCAGGTTGATAACGACTTTTGTGGTAGACGTTATTTCAGACTGAGGTTTTACAGTTTGTTGAGCCAGCTAAGGCAAAAAAAGCCTGACTCTGTTTGACTTCCTTTGTCGTAAAGCCCTCGGGATACTGTAGCATGTAAGCACCTTAGCCAGGTTTCTGAACATTGTTTATTGGTACAAAACATAGTGGCTAAGATGGTGAGAAACCAAGACACAACTGTACATTGATTATTAGAAACCAGGATACAGTACGAGGTATGCACACAATCAGGTGTTTAATGACCATCAAATATCATATCCCAAATGAGATCTACACCAGGTCAGGGCTCCTCAAAATACTAATTATCATGTAAACGTACTCAGTGTTGCATTGTGCCTTGCCTTTGAGCCCCCTGTACAGTACCTGAATCTTGAACCCTGTAACCCGTACCTGAACCTAACCTTAATCGAAGGTTACACTATTGTAACCCTTGTTCTACTAGCACAGGCTGCACGTATTCAGGTCGGCACATCCCGATAGACCTACTACATTTATGTAAATTTCAGTGGGCAATTGCATGCTTGTGATTGAAGGACAGTATTACCCGTAGAGTCCAGTAGAGGGCAGAGCCTGTGTGAGATAGAATTTCTGCCTACCTGCACCTTTGGACTCTGTTACTTCTCTTTGGACTTTTCTACCCTTGCCAGTAAGTACATGTCCCATCATTTAATCACTAAATCCAGGAACTTCTCCGCCTGCTTCATTGTCTGTGTTTGAGCCCTCCTCCTCCCTCTGTTGCCTGTATTTCTTTGTGGACATAAGGCATTCCCGATCTCTGTGTGTTGGAGGGTATAAGTCTGTCGAACCTATGACGATACCCAGGATCACAGCTAGGTTTGGTCTGTTGTGCTTGTGATGACACCCAACTGTATTTTGGCATTATGGTGGTTTTGTTTTTACAGTACACTCTTATCACAAACTTCTTGATTGAGAAATGTCCTCCAAGAGCATTTGATAGTTTGGACCATGGACCTTGTTTCCAGCACCCAAATGCAAATCAGGGAACTTGAATTTTCTCAGATGGATCTATGCAACCTACTAAGATGCACTTATGCCAGATTTTTGCAATCCAAGACAATGTCTCTGAGAGGTCATTTACCTTTTGCCTGTCAGCTTGTTTCGATTCATCAGATTGGGCATTCAGTTTGTTGGCCACAGAACTGATGATTTGTCCCACAGTTTCTCCTGACAGTACACCGTGCTCCTTTAGCTGAACCAAAGCATTCTCCACTGAAGTCTTAAGATCATCTACTGAGGAGCTAGATACCGCTGTGTAATCCAGCACCTGAGGAGAAAGACATATTCTTACTGCAAGATAAAGAAAGCTTACAGCATTTCTATAGGATGTGTTTTGTTAGTAACCCCATTTCTTCTATCATTGTGGGGTTGTTTTTCTTTTTTACAAACCTCTGCAGTGACAGTGGTGCTAGCTACAAAGCTGCCATTGTTTGCAGTTGCTTTGATATTCAGCTTGAAGTTGGAGCTGCTGTCTCCGAGAGGAAGGAAGACAGCCTTCACTTCATTGTTGTTGCTGCAGCGCAGATGCTTACCTGACAATTTTCAAAAAAGAAAATAAATCAGTTTGACAGATTTCTATAAAAGTAATCTAGGATATATTTTGAGATAGCTGTGTTTTTTAAAAAAATATAAGATAAATCAGTTCAGTTATCATAGAATCTTTTCTGACCTGGATCACTTACCTTCATCAGTCTTAAAACAATACTGACAGTCAGAACAAGGAACTTCAGTATTGCAAGTTATATCGAAAGCATCAAGGATTGTTCCCCTCTGCGGTGATATGCTACACTTAAGGCTGTCAAAATTGTTGGTGGTGACTGGTGGAGATGTATCACCAGTGTCTGTGGTGGTAGGTGTGGCAGTGATGTCAGTAATAGTGCCAGGTGATGTAGAGGCAGGACCAGTGGTGGTTTCTTCGGGACTGTCCTCTTCCTTACTGTCTTCCTCCTTACTGTCTTCTTCCTTCTCGGTAGATGATGAAGTCTTTATGATGTATTTGTGGTAAAGTGGTACAACATCCGCTTTTGTGTTAATGAAAAAGAACAATATTATTTCCAAGAAATGAAAGTGCTGATTTGCAAAAGCAGGTTTATCAATCTTGATTAAATAGTCAAAAATAGTGACAGGCCAACATTAAAATCATTCCTTTAAATTGATATAGCATTGGTGTTTCTCACATGGTGTTGATTTCCCTGCATGAAATATGCTACACATGAGAAAACTGTTTACGTCATTAACCCTGGATTACATCTGACATAAATTAATAATTGGTCTGAACCAAAAAATGATCACAGATCAAGGCAGGATAATTACCAGCACAGCTTTAACATTATTCTAATGAATAATGTGTACATACCTGATGTTATCACCACAGTGACATCCAGACCTTTAGATTTGGCTGCCTGAAGAATCCAATTTGACACAGTGTATTCAGTCCCACCATGCATTTTCAGTACAAGTGGCCTTTTCTTTTCCATTTTATAGCAGTCTTTTTCTATATCTCCCTGTTAATAAAATAAAATAAAATGCAACTTAATTAAGTTTCTGACAAATTGTTTTTACAACATTAAACACTATGTGATCTTTGAGTCCCAGAATTAATTTATCAGACTTACTGGCCAGTTTTTGTCTTCACGTAGGTCCTCAATGTTCCACATAATCTGTGGACACTGTTGTCCTTTACAATCCATTTTAATTTTTGCATCATTGTTCTTCTTGATTGGGTTACAGCCTTCAGTGCAAGTGAGACTATGGTATAACAAATACATAGATCATTTGGTTAACACACAACTAGAATGTCTACATCTAAAAAAAAAAAAAAAAGTACTGCGGTGAAACAATTTACTGTAGGTGTATACTGTACTCAGGGTTCCAGGGTTCGGAGTTACGAAATACAAGTAATGGCGTTCCATATTTAAAATACAAAACATGAGTATCTGTATTTTGTTGCAGTTCATTGGCGGTATTCTGAATACACTTATTGTAGTGGAATACGTTTTACAGGTAACCTTCCCAACACTGACCAACAATTAGATTTTAGTTATCTGCTTAATCTGATGACACAAAAAACAGCATTCCATTTAGGTGAGCTTGTTCTAAGATCTTGGTGTTGTGCTTGCTGGCTCACTGACATGGCTTACTGAAAAACTGAGCCATTGTTAACAAAATTAGTTCCACCTGTGTCTTTCTATGACTGGTCAAAATGTCTGCCATGAGAAAGGTCTATCTTTACAGGACAGTTTTGCTCTAAAATTAGTAAGATATGTCAACTCCTTTCCAAAGCAGTTTCATTTGTTCCAATAATTTTCTGAAGTCAGTGTTGACATACTAGCCTGGTTCCAGACCATAGACCCCGCCCACTCAACTGAGTAGGCTTGCATTTCTGGTCTGGCATACTTCAATGAATTTGCTATTTATCTCGTCCAAACGATGGACGGACCAATGAACGCTGGGGGTCTAGCGATTAGCCAATCAGCGCCACGCTGATGTCAAGCTGTACGCCGGTGGGTAACTGGTGAGGATAGCAACAATGGCGACCGCTACAGATCCTACAGACCACATTAACGATGCTCTCGAGGTATTTTGCCACTGCTCGCGTTAATGGAGGACCAAATTAAGGAAGCTGCTAAACTGGATTTAACGGCGATGCAGCTGGGCGTGCACGACGACGGAGACATTTTAAACGGGCAATGCTCGCTTGTTTTCGGCACCCCCGAGGCATGGATACTAATGATGTCAGATTCTGGGTGAGTCGTTGATCTTTACTGATTGGTTAGGGAAAAAATCAAATTCCCTCCCCCTTGTAAATCACCTTCAATGGAAGCCATGTCAGACTAAAGGTTCTGGAAGCTTCAGTCTGACACTCAGGCTGGTGACATACTGTAAATATTCATTTACGTTTACCTGTTTACCTGATTTCAATTGTTAGAAAATGACAGATACACAATGCTGAAATGCTGCCAGATAAGGTGTTGAGAACACAGATGGGAATGTCAGGTCAAGTGATCAGAGCAGATCAATTTCAAGTACCTTAGCCAAGTTGGCACGTTCTTCTGAGGGTTGAGGGTGATGCATATGGATTCCGTTTTTTCCACTTTATTATTGTCTTTATTTATCACATTAAAATGGTACTTAAAATATTGAAGAGGATCTGGTAGGCAACGTTCTGTAATGTCATAAGTCAGTCCCTCAAAATTTCCCTGGCATCGACAGGGATTCTCTGTGAATCAGTAAGGAAAGTCATTATTCTACTGTAGGAACAATTGAAATGCCAATACAAAACATTTAAGAACAATTTTTCATGTATATACTGTATATTTACTGAAGCCATCCATTAGGAAATATGGGCAGGGGACAACATTTTCAAAAGTAGGCCCCCCATCCACACCCAGGGGGGTGGCAGGGGGATTACTATACATATCACTATGCAAAATGTTATTATGCCTTCAAACATAATCCAATTAATCATATTTCTATATGTATTTTGTATCTACATTGTGTTAGGAGCATATTTTCTTACTGTGAAAAGCAGAGGTATTCACATGTGAGTCCTAGGCCAAAATAATCCCCTCCAGTAAATGATTAGAGAAAGGTAGAATCAATCATTGATTAAACAATTACTGCAGGATATTAAATCATGAGGTCTAATCCTGAGTGAACAAATAATTGTTTTTTCTTGATTCATTAATACAATCTTGAGGGCTACTTTAATCAAATATTGGTTAAATTGTGTGCAGAACTAAAACAATATAAGGAGTATATGCCTGTCAACTCTGAGTTTTCCAGTCATACCCAATGTACGTAATTCCAAGACTGTTCAGGGACCCCAGTATGCAGAAATATTTAGATACACTATTTTGAAAAATGGCAGTGTTCCTTTTTCCCAACTTTAAAGCGTTATTTCGCCCTCTTTCCGATAAGAAAGCACAACATGGTTGGTACCTATGGGTCCTCCAGTTTAAAATGATACCTGTGTCTTCACTGCAGCTTTGAAACTGAATTGAAAGTAGGAGCCCTGATTTTTGGTGAAGTATTCTGACTTAACTAGTCAGGCTGCAGTTTGCCTCACAAGTTTATATTAGCAGCAATTGTGAGTTTTGTGCCCTGTGCCCCTGACACCCTCTGTCAGATGGACTGTACCACAATACCTGTAGATGGCACATTAAAATGTGGCATATTGAAATTTGTTTTAATAATAAAAATACATTTATTTATCATGTGAATCTTAATGACGAAAACTGTGTGTGTGTGGGTGTGTCTGTTTGTGTCTCTGTCTGTGTCCCATTTTTTTTCCTCACTGACTTGGTCAATCCATGTGAAATTTGGCACAGTGGTAGAGGGTCATGGGAGGATGCCAATGAAGCAATATTACTTTGAATGGGCATATCTCATGCCCCGTATGTCGTAGAGACATGAAACTTTGCACAGAGATGCCTCTCCTCACGAGGAACAAATTTGCCTAGAAGACCATAACTTTCGGTTATATAGATTTTCCGCCATTTTGAATTTTTTGAAAAATACTTAAAATTGATCTCTTCCTAGGAAGTTTGACCGATCTGCATGAAACTCAGTGAACATAATCTAGGGACCAATATCTAAAGTTCCCTCTTGGCAAAAGTTGGAAAACTTACTAAAACTGAGCTTCTATAAGGCAATGAATATTGCGGAGGGCGTGGCTCATCACATAAAGGTGTATAACATCTCAAGGGTTTCACCGATCACCACGCAACTTTGTAGGCATATGACCACACACAGTCTGAGGGGACCCCTCCATTATTGACCTGATCAAACAAAATGGGGGCGCTAGAGAGCTAATTTCTTATCTAGGCCTAACCGCCACCGAATGTTTGTTTTTTCCTAATTTTTGGTATGACTAAGTCATGGTATGGTATGCTGTACATAATCACAGAAACTGTCAGTGTGTCATTCTGTCAGTCAGTCATTCTGTCTGTCCCACGTTTTTCTACTCACTGACGTGGTCAATCTATGCGAAACTGCACATAGGCATTGAGGATTGGCATATGTAGAAGGTGACAAAGCTACCAATGGGTATGGACTAGTACATATAACTTGTATTGCCAGCGACATAGCTCAGCAATTCAGTTGTTGTTTTTGATCCTATTTATGGGTTAATCATAGACCTTTTCATGCTCCCCTTACTAAAATGTAAACAGGTGAGTTATACAAAAATTCCCCCCTGTACAATTGTCATGAATGTTGAAATCAGCCACAGAGGCCAAAACAGTTTTTATGTGCTGGACTGTAAACATGTTTTGATTTGCTGTAAATCTGAGCATCTGGAGCCAGCCCCAAGTGGCTGTTCACAGAACTGCAGTTTTTGGCACTTTTTGGGGTCATTTTTCAGCCCCAGAGTTTGCAGCATTATCCTTTTTTTATCACCTTTCCAAAACACAAAAGTAAAGATGCTCAGGATTAATTAAAGAGTGTTTATCTGTTCGAACGTAAGATGCAATCTTTAGTATGCCAGGCTAGCTAGCTTGATTACCTAAAAAGTAGTAGCAGAGGGTTTCTTCCGTAGCCACAGAGCACATCATTAACTATGTACATTAGTTTGTGGGGGGTAAAGGTTGTGTTAAAAAAAAAGAAATCCTAATTCATGACAAGCACAGCCACTATACTATTTTCCCACTGTGGAGGCTGGTCTTGAATGTTATCAAAGTCTGGACAGCATGACATTTGTCAACACATGGGTTATACCCCTTCTCTTGGAACGTTTGTGCAGTTGTGTTGGAACGAGATAACATATATATGATATTATATTGCTGCATTTATCCTCATCATAACCTACTTACTGGTAGGACAAACCAATATGATACAAAATACTACCAATAAATAGTATAATACTAAATTTAGAAATAATATGAAAATGCATAAACAAAGCTGTTTTTCTCCATTTCTTCCACATGGATATTCAGCTGGTGAGGATGGTAACTTTCTGCCTGTTTTTTTTTTTTTTTTTTTTTTTTTTTTGAACCAATTCATACAGAAACATAAGCTACAGTCAATATAAATACATAAATAAATAAATAAAATCTAGTAGTGACAGTTGGCTGCTTAGAAATGGGAAGCTAATTTTGTTGAAATCAAGGACCCATATTTTAAAAATTACCAAGAATTTAAATCTGTCACAGTTTACGTATTGTGAGAATAGAAAACTTGAAAGGCATAGTAACACTAGCAAAGGTAATGGGGTATATCAGATTCCTTTACATGTAATGCTCTGGCTTAATCTGTAGCTCAGACAATCAACACATTAACATGACATCAAAATGTGTTACTTTATGAACCTTATTATCATCAAATATGAAACATTTATACTTAATCTTTGAATTAAAAAAGATAAAAAGCGCAGTTCTTACGGCATGCCCACACGTATCGTTTCTTCGGGTCATTTAGTTTGGCTGCATCGCTTACTGAAAGCGTGATCGTTATATCTTTGGTAGGTACAGAATATGAAGGTGTTGCAATGGCTTTCATTGGAGATCTGACAACTCTAATTGGTTTCTTTCCCTGAAAAAAAGTAAAAGGATTTAATATAGTATGCACTATAAAAACACAGATTTATGAACAGAGTTAGGAGAGCTGGAAGGGGTAAGTATTTTTCTCCTTTACTATAAAATATGTCTGCTGTTGAGGGTACAAAGAAAACATTTTACCGGTCTCAAAAAATGGTCATCATGACCATTTGAGAGTGAATCCTTGCCACAGAAAGCAAACATATCCACATCCACTTCCAAAGAGGAGAAGACATTCCATGCTCTGACTTTCATTTGAACAGAACCTGCAGCAAAACATTCACTTAATATTCAACAATAACATCTGCACATATACACAGCTGAAACATGAGTATGAAATACTCACAAATCATTATATTACAGCCGTATTTTGACTCATATGTGACCCCCATTTTTGATACATCTTCCCTACCTTGAATAGGGTGTCCAATTTGAAAGATTTCCTTGCTTGTGTTCATTTCCCTGGTCTCGGTGTACGAGCTGTTGTCTCCAGACAGTGAGAAAAGGAGCAGCACAGGTGCTCCTTGTTCAAGGGAAACACTAACTGTAATATCTGGATAGTCTGGACAATCATCCCTCTCTGTCAACACAGTGGCCTCAAGCCTGGCTACTTTTTCCAACTCACACATCTGCAGTACATGAAGAATTACAGAAAAAGAAAAACACATCAACTTCCCTTTTCACATCACTTGTCATCTGTGAACCTTTTCACAGCAGACAAATACATTGGTTAATCAATTATTATGATTAATTTTTAAGTTACAATTTTAAGCGTGTAACTACAGTATAGTGATTTTGCATTGGGCTCTGAGTGCTGCCAAAATGCAGGTGCCCTACAACTCATTACTGTACCTGAATGCATTATGAGTGGACATGAATGGAGCACTGAGGCTGCTGCTTTGTTAACATGTTGGTCAAGCTATGCCTTCAATTAGCTTCATGAGTTGTTTCTTATATGTTTCCAATAAGCCAACAAGGTCAAAAGTTAATGAGCCTATTAGCGTTATTAAGGAGCCATTGGTCTAGATCATCTAAGGTTTTCTTCTAACCTATCATCTGCACACTGAAAACTATTAATCAATAATATGTGGTGGGAATACAGCCTGGGCCTGACTCCTCCCTTAGCCAACCTCCTAATCAGGTCCAGACAATATTTAGCACCTGTCAGCCTTTGTTCTCCCTCTTCCTGCCTCATGCCCTGTCCCTGCTGTGGCAGCCCCTATTTGTTTACAGCAGGTTTTTCTTATTTCAGGACTGGATAGCCAGATTGGTGAGAAGCTAGGCACCCGTAGTGAGGTCCCTTCACTCTTGCATGTGAGTAGTTGCACTGGGACACCATAGATTGCACCATTTTTTGTTTGAGGATTGCTGTGTTGTTTGCTGTGCCCACTTGTAGTGAGTAGTGGTAGCACCCCTTGGCACTCCTCCACGTAGTCCGCCTCTCGACAAGTGGCCTCAGCTCAGTTTCCTAGTTTCTTTAATTTTGCTTACATTGATGCTGAGTTTTAACTTTTGAATCATTCGCTTTTTAGAATTTATATTAAGGCCTTTTGTTGCATAAATTGTAATAAAGTGTAAAGTAATTCTAAAAGTTATTGACACCACCACTACACCATTCCAACCCACTAAAATTTACCTACCCCCTCGCCACATACAGTACAGGCCAAAAGTTTGGACACAACTTCTCATTCAATGCGTTTTCTTTATTTTCATGACTATTTACATTGTAGATTCTCACTGAAGGCATCAAAACTATGAATGAACACGTGGAATTATGTACTTAACAAAAAAAGGTGAAATAACTGAAAACATGTTTTATATTCTAGTTTCTTCAAAATAGCCACCCTTTGCTCTGATTACTGCTTTGCACACTCTTGGCATTCTCTCCATGAGCTTCAAGAGGTATTCACCTGAAATGGTTTTCCAACAGTCTTGAAGGAGTTCCCAGAGGTGTTTAGCACTTGTTGGCCCCTTTGCCTTCACTCTGCGGTCCAGCTCACCCCAAACCATCTCGATTGGGTTCAGGTCCGGTGACTGTGGAGGCCAGGTCATCTGCCGCAGCACTCCATCACTCTCCTTCTTGGTCAAATAGCCCTTACACAGCCTGGAGGTGTGTTTGGGGTCATTGTCCTGTTGAAAAATAAATGATCGTCCAACTAAACGCAAACCGGATGGGATGGCATGTCGCTGCAGGATGCTGTGGTAGCCATGCTGGTTCAGTGTGCCTTCAATTTTGAATAAATCCCCAACAGTGTCACCAGCAAAACACCCCCACACCATCACACCTCCTCCTCCATGCTTCACAGTGGGAACCAGGCATGTGGAATCCATCCGTTCACCTTTTCTGCGTCTCACAAAGACACGGCGGTTGGAACCAAAGATCTCAAATTTGGACTCATCAGACCAAAGCACAGATTTCCACTGGTCTAATGTCCATTCCTTGTGTTTCTTGGCCCAAACAAATCTCTTCTGCTTGTTGCCTCTCCTTAGCAGTGGTTTCCTAGCAGCTATTTGACCATGAAGGCCTGATTCGCGCAGTCTCCTCTTAACTGTTGTTCTAGAGATGGGTCTGCTGCTAGAACTCTGTGTGGCATTCATCTGGTCTCTGATCTGAGCTGCTGTTAACTTGCGATTTCTGAGACTGGTGACTCGGATGAACTTATCCTCAGAAGCAGAGGTGACTCTTGGTCTTCCTTTCCTGGGTCGGTCCTCATGTGTGCCAGTTTCGTTGTAGCGCTTGATGGTTTTTGCGACTCCACTTGGGGACACATTTAAAGTTTTTGCAATTTTCCGGACTGACTGACCTTCATTTCTTAAAGTAATGATGGCCACTCGTTTTTCTTTAGTTAGCTGATTGGTTCTTGCCATAATATGAATTTTAACAGTTGTCCAATAGGGCTGTCGGCTGTGTATTAACCTGACTTCTGCACAACACAACTGATGGTCCCAACCCCACTGATAAAGCAAGAAATTCCACTAATTAACCCTGATAAGGCACACCTGTGAAGTGGAAACCATTTCAGGTGACTACCTCTTGAAGCTCATGGAGAGAATGCCAAGAGTGTGCAAAGCAGTAATCAGAGCAAAGGGTGGCTATTTTGAAGAAACTAGAATATAAAACATGTTTTCAGTTATTTCACCTTTTTTTGTTAAGTACATAACTCCACATGTGTTCATTCATAGTTTTGATGCCTTCAGTGAGAATCTACAATGTAAATAGTCATGAAAATAAAGAAAACGCATTGAATGAGAAGGTGTGTCCAAACTTTTGGCCTGTACTGTATACGTTGGCAGATTAATAGCAACTTAATCCCTTAAAGGGATAGTGCACCCATAAATGAAAATTCAGCCATTATCTACTCACCCATATGCCGAGGGTGAGTAGTGTTTTGAGGACTCTAAAACTTTACCAGAGCCTCCCTCTGCATGAGGGTGAGTAGATAATGGCTGAATTTTCATTTTTGGGTGCACTATACCTTTAAGTAGATCTTATTGTAAAATGTAGTCTTTTTGTAAGTTGTCCTGTGGAGTTTTTGAACACTAATAGCACAAAAGAGCAAAGTTTTTATGTATTGTTTATTCTTGGCCTGTGCTAAAGGATGCACGGGCACAAAACATTCCTTATGATGACCTCACACTATTCTGTGAAAGGCAGGGGCTGGTAAGGGGCCAAGAAAATGCCTGCAATGCCTCAGCTAATGCAGGGAAGGAGAAGACTGTAGATTGTGAATGTGGATTGCTGAGATACTTATTGAGATACTGCACTTTTTTAAACACCATGAATGTGATAAACAAAAATGTGAATTCCTATTTTAAAACTGTGACTTGGCTGTCAAACTTTAGATGCCTTCCACAGTAGCATTGCAGTGAGAAAAGCCCTGGCACAGCCAAGAAAAAGAAACAAAAGATAGAATAAAGTGGCAGAGCAATTATATGCCAGTCATTCTATTGTTTAAGTCATGACGTTGCTGTTAAATTTTATGATATTTCCAAACTTCTGATAACAATTCCACACAAAATTTTATGGGTTGCGTCTGTTAAGATGGCACTCATGCAGCATTATACATGCCTAGAGTAGAACTTTGATTAAACTTTGATCCATCATACATTTTTCTCACCATGTTCCAGTTTTAAAAGTAACACTAACTAGCCAAATCAAAATTTTAAACTCAGAGATGACGTCACAGGATGCTGATTTGGATGAAATTCAGAGGGGTGTTGCATCCTCTGTGTTCTGCTGTTTCCAGATATGCCACTAACGCAACATGGTGCCATAATTAAAGGTTAATTTTAATTTCTAATTTAGAGAGGCCTTAATACTTCAATCAATGCCTTAATCACATGATGAAAATGTCATCTTCAAGTATTACATTTCATATGTCATTATCACAATCAGGACAAAACATGGAGGGATGACGCATCATGTTATTTGTGGCCGCATCATCGAGAGAAGATGACATGTTTACTTGATTAACGTTGATTTACCTGCAGGTGTGCGGACACTTCAGGGAATGTGACCATGTTAGATGCATAAAGGGTCAGCTGGTGGCAGCCAGGCCCACGCTGCGTCATCATTTGTGGAGTCACTGTGATGTTCTGGGGAATATTTCCTCTCAACACAGATAAACCTGACAACAACATGTCATCACTCTGGACTCTGTAGGTCACATTTGTACCTGCAGAAAGATAAGAAATACTTTTAAAAGACGAAAAATAGAATACAAACACCAAAACCTGATGCTTCCAAGCAGTGATATCAAATTGGACAGGACAAATCATTGTATATTATGGTGTTATGGTGCTGGCACCCACCTGCCTTTACTTCAATTTGAATTTGGAATGGCTCTCCCCAAAGGGCTTTGCAGTCAGTTGCATGGAAAGACAGTTTCCCAGCATAGCACCTGATTACACCAAACTCTATAATGGGCTCTTGAATGGTTATTATTTTCTGAGCTGTAATGTGCACGTCCCTGGTGATGCATTCGACAACCACAACAAATGTGCTTGGATAAGTATATCTGTGCACCATGCTGTTCTCCAATCTGAGAAAAAGCACATATAGAGACAGTTAGCTGTGACCACAGTATGCTCCTCTTATTTCCTGGAGAAAAATAATTCATTGGAGACAAAGTGGAGATGTATTGACATGAATAATAAGTTTTTGGTCTAATTTCACGGCAGTATGGATTGACGATATGGGCTAATTAAAGATAAGAGGTTTTGCACGCTTCTCGATAACTGAAGTTTATCTGCAACAATTGTAGTTCAACAAATATTTTCACCTATGGCTGCTGACAGAACTCTGAGCAGAAACACAAGGGGCACAAAAATGAGGCTAAACTTGAAATGCATTCATTATTAATTAAACAATTTACAGGTATATCATGCAGGATTATCCTAAATAAACAATGTATAGACTCATACAACAGTACCCTTCTCAATCATCACCTATGATCCACTACAGTGTGTGGTGCATGCACGTGCAGAGGGGGGAGCGGAAGGGGCTGGAGCACCTGCCCGTTTTGTCTCTTGACCCTCAAGTGCCCTGTTGTCAAGCTTCTTTTTTTGTGATGAAGGCCTTCCTGTGGCCCCTCACAGGAACATTTATTATTAATAAATGTTAATAATTCACAATATATGACATGCCGCCAGCCAGTTCATCATATGACATCACGTCATGACCCCAGCAGAGAGAGTTGTTGTCTGTCCAACAGTACAATAATGTAGACAGTACAACAGTATGACAGTAGAACAGTTGGAAGTCGAAGAACCGGTAAGTGGGTGAAACAAAGGATGTGTACTTTGTTTCATGTATTTTGCGAGACAAAGTGAAATGATCATGCATGCACGTTTGGTATGTTTCCATAAGGGCCTTTGGACACTAGCTAACCACAGACAGCTGCTGCTGTCTCTGTCAAATGAGGGCAAAAAGTATAATGTGGATGTTTTTCTTACTTTCCTGTCTTGGACTATTAATTACTGGGCCTGACATGTAGCCAGCAAGAGCTTGTCATGAAATGACATTGTTTAGTACCCGTGCCATGCAATGTGTGTGTTTGTTCATTACGTTTCATTCATGCATTCATTTTTGATTATTAATCATAATATTTTATCCTTTAGTGCAAAGATGCCCTGCAAAGAGAGGCACCTTCAACAACAAAAGAGGGAGCTGCATGAGGCAGCAAAAAGTAGTGGATCCCTAACCAACTGGGTTAAAAAGAGCACAACAGGTAAGAATAATATTTTCTCATAGACAACACTACATTGCAGTGTGTTTTACATTACATTTTAGATCTATGATTGCATAAGGTTCAAGAGTTGTTAATTACGTTTAGCCTCTCTAACTCCGCCAGGACACCGACGTCCTCGCTCCCCTCCTCCTTTGTTAAATCGTATCTCCTAGGCGCATTACGTCATCAAACCATGTGATGTTTGGTACTGCCGGATTCAGGAAGCTCTTGACTTTTCAAAAATAACATCGTTTTTCTTTTATTTCTTATGGATTTTGCACCAGAGCAGCCTAAACACACATAGTCCAAAATCGCAATGAGTGGTGACAAGTCATGTCATGCCGTTTTTTGACGGGAAAAGTTAAAGGATTACTCGAGATCTTATGTGGAGATCTTCTTCAAATTTGAAACAAATGTTCATTGATAGTGTGCCTACAGCCCCACAGTGCCATTTACCTGCTCAGATGAAGCCACAGACAGTTATTCATCCTGAAAAACATTTTTTATTTTATTTTAGGCAAAATCTAATTTTTTACTGACTTCAGAGGCCCATTACTCTGTCTCAATATCACCTAATTGATGCTGATTAATTGTTAGATTATTGCTTGTTCCTAGATCGACAGGAAGAAAGTGATAGGTCAGATGATAAATGGAGATGGAGCCAACTCAATTTTGCATCTTGTTTGTCAGGTGTAATTGTGATGTCCATGTCAAAATAAAATCTATCTAAAAATTGCAAAGTACAGTACAGGCCAAAAGTTTGGACACACCTTCTCATTCAATGCGTTTTCTTTATTTTCATGACTATTTACATTGTAGATTCTCACTGAAGGCATCAAAACTATGAATGAACACATGTGGAGTTATGTACTTAACAAAAAAAGGTGAAATAACTGAAAACATGTTTTATATTCTAGTTTCTTCAAAATAGCCACCCTTTGCTCTGATTACTGCTTTGCACACTCTTGGCATTCTCTCCATGAGCTTCAAGAGGTAGTCACCTGAAATGGTTTCCACTTCACAGGTGTGCCTTATCAGGGTTAATTAGTGGAATTTCTTGCTTTATCAATGGGGTTGGGACCATCAGTTGTGTTGTGCAGAAGTCAGGTTAATACACAGCCGACAGCCCTATTGGACAACTGTTAAAATTCATATTATGGCAAGAACCAATCAGCTAACTAAAGAAAAATGAGTGGCCATCATTACTTTAAGAAATGAAGGTCAGTCAGTCCGGAAAATTGCAAAAACTTTAAATGTGTCCCCAAGTGGAGTCGCAAAAACCATCAAGCGCTACAACGAAACTGGCACACATGAGGACCGACCCAGGAAAGGAAGACCAAGAGTCACCTCTGCTTCTGAGGATAAGTTCATCCGAGTCACCAGCCTCAGAAATGGCAAGTTAACAGCAGCTCAGATCAGAGACCAGATGAATGCCACACAGAGCAGTAATCAGAGCAAAGGGTGGCTATTTTGAAGAAACTAGAATATAAAACATGTTTTCAGTTATTTCACCTTTTTTTGTTAAGTACATAACTCCACATGTGTTCATTCATAGTTTTGATGCCTTCAGTGAGAATCTACAATGTAAATAGTCATGAAAATAAAGAAAATGCATTGAATGAGAAGGTGTGTCCAAACTTTTGGCCTGTACTGTATCTCCATGCTTACTCTATCACAATATATCATAGTACATTGAACTGTAATAGCCGTCATTGTCAGATTTTTGCCAATACACAGCCCTAACACCACAGTGTTTTAAAATCCGGTTCTATATGCCCCTTTTTGACTTTGAGCACCTGTCCCTTTAGAGGACTCTGAAGGACCCTGGTGTGGTGGTGTATTCATCTGCAGGGACCCTATACTCTGCCTGTATTTTCTTCTTATTTTGCCATGTTTGGGACATCCTTAGACACAGCACACAGGTGAGATCAGGACTTAATAAAAAGGTTGTGACCAGGTGCAAGACTGTAAGCAGTACGCGTACAAGAGGAAGGTACAACAATTGTGGACATATCGCCAAAACGTGCAAGAATAGCGAAGTGAAACGTCAATCTGGGGCTGGCTTTCGCTTTCACTTTCTCTGGTGATACTGTATACAAACAGTAATGAACAATTTCTGCATGGCATACCTTTAATAAAGGCAGCTACAGGATGTGTTACATTATTCAACAGAGCTGCATGAAAAAACAAAAGCAGTATGTGAGCTATGGAAACTATCACCAAATGCCAAAAAACATTTAAAGCTGATTTAGGGCATATTTTAGGCTTTAGTACTTTACAGTTAGCTTAACATACCTGTGATCATGTATGTAATTAATCTGCACAAACACTTGTGTAAACTTGATACAACTGTAAAGAACATTGTTTTCCCAATAATGTAAAAGAGAAGGACATGGCTGACTTACACAGTAAGAACATCAGAGAGCTTAATAAACACTTCTAATTGGAAGTTTAATATAACCTATGGCTTTGAGGCCGCTTTTGCAATGGCAAGAGTTCATGTTAATTTGTCTATCCCTCAAAGCATCCATGTGGGGTTAAAAGGGTATAGTAATGATTGCAACAGTGCTCCATACCCATAGAGGTTAGAGGACTTCCTCAGAAATCTTGACAAGAGATATTCTAACTTTTAGGTTTAAGTTTGGAGCTCCAAAATCACTTGATCCTACGTTTCCAATATTGCAACTCAGTCCTGTCTTTTGATAAACCTTCTGTTAAATGTCTAAGTCTTTCAATCTCTACCCCTACACTATGTTGTACATTTTAAGTCTCAAGCTAAATCATCATCATCATCAGGGTTATTTTGTCAAACTTGACAAAGCTCCACCAGAGCTTTAGAAGACATTATACACCTGTTTTCACAATCTGAGTAGTATTGATTGTATTTTAAACCCCCATAGTCAGTCTATACTCACCCCTGTGGACTAAGCAGATAAATAACATGGCCATCTCCGGTACTCAGCTTGCAGCTGAGGTTACCTTGCTGTAAATGTAAAAGCCATTCCACGTTGATGGTGACGTCATCATAAACAGCAGCCACAGTGCCCACTGACAGTGAGAGCCCTGTGGGGAGATAATGACCAGAAATGTAGCACAGTGCGTGTAACCCACCTGTTTTTCCAAAATCATTCTTTAAAATAATAATGAAATATAATAGACAAGCACAGATCCTCATCTCAGCAGACAGCAGAGAGACAGGGCTACTACAGGGATGTTTAATACAACAGCAACAAGGTAACAGCTTCATGGGTTTGCACGAATTCCCTCTTTCCTTTTTCCTATTTGCTCTGTACAGGTGACTGCACTGCGGCTTTTCAGACATTCATTCATTCATTCATTCATCTTCTAACCGCTTCATCCTCTTGAGGGTCGTGGGGGGGCTGGAGCCTATCCCAGCTGACATCGGGCGAGAGGCAGGGTACACCCTGGACAGGTCGCCAGACTATCGCAGGGCGGATTTTCAAACAAGATGAAATAAACAGATTTAATAAATAATTTATAACCACCATCATTGTCAGAACTAAAATGTATTTATTTATGTTTCTATGTATGAGCTCTAACACTGACACTGTTGTAGAACCTAGCAGTGACTGTATAAAAACACAGCAGAGTCTGTGAAACATGCCATCTATGGGTCATGAAAGGAGTTTTTGAAGCCTGGATTTGGGTAGACACAGTAAGTGAGTAAGTGAGGCCTAAAAAAACACATTTAGGAAAAATAGGCCCAGCCATTTTGACATTGTATAGAAGGAAGACCTACAAACAACCTTGTGTTTTCAGAGAGAGGTTGTCGCTTATTATGATGATCTCTGTGAAGCCACGGGTGGTTCCTGGGAACATCCATATAGTGTACCTCTTTGTTGGTTATTTTATAGGTTTCAGCTTTTGGCTGCAGAAACCCCCACTTGGGAAAAACTGTATACAGTAAAGGGCCAGATGGGAAACAATTGAACCAGCTTCTACTAGATGTAAAACTTCCCCTTGGAACATTTGTGATTTCTTAGAATAACTGTGACCTACCATCTTTGCAGTGGTAGTCCACAGACAGGTAGCTCCCCAGCTGAGGACAGAGTTCAACAAAGGAGTCCACAACTGGAGCAATCTGGCAAACCTGGCGACCATTGCAGTGAGCTGGGAAACACACGGGGAACTTAATCAGCTACCGATAACACACAGCAATGATAGTGACATTATGGATTTTTTTTCAAATTACTTCTTCCTGTTAAAACAAGTTTCAAAAGAGGTTTGCCCTATACTCCTTTGTGGTGAGATGCAGAATTACATACTAAGGATGATTGACAAAGGGATTCTGTATCCAGCTGTGTTGTTTGCTGAGGCCAGGGATGAAGTCCAGCATCTACCTTTTAAGTATGTAGCCTGAAGTGACTCCCCTTCAGTCAGAAAGTCTGACACATTTTCAGAAGACTCATAGTTTGCTCAGGACAGTCTTTTCTCCCACAGATACATTTTTGCACATACATTCTCACTATAACTCTTTATACACTGATGCTCCAGGTACCCCTCCAGCGTCAGTTTTAGATGCTTAGGGACAGCATGCCATACCAAACAAACCACACCAAGCATTAGTATTTGACGAGTTGGAAGTGTGGCAGGGTTGTCCTCACAGTCGTCTCTTTTTTGTCTTGTATGTAGACAACACATTCCATGTCAAGATACAATTTGCTAGGTACCCTAGGTGAATTGGTTGCAGATGTTTTGGTACACTGTGTCAAGTTCTGCTTGTTACATGCATTGTCTGTTTTCAAAATACACTTCCGTTTTCACAGGAAATATACCATTTCCTTACAGTCTCTTTCAAAATAAACACACTGTCGGTACAACACTGCGAACACTGGCCTTCTGGGTGAATGTCATTGGTTGTTGGACCCATCCACCACCACTCCTGCCCGCCCTACTCAGGCTCGGACCACTTCTTGTCCTGCCACATTTACCTCTGATGCCGCCGGATGCCGTTAAACAATAATGCCGACTGGCGGCATATCATACCAATGTGAAAGGATGGCTTTTTTTGTTGGTGTCTGACACCAGAAGCCACTGGCCAAGTACCAGATTTCGATGACTTTGGAGTGAGATCAGGTTGACAGAGAAGATTGTTCCAGCTCTACCCTGTAGTGCAAACTATATATTTTGATGACTTTGCTACATTGCCCTCATTTGTTTTGAGTGTTTCATTCAAAACCCATAACATCTGTGAGGTTTCCTGCTTGCTCCGGGACACCAAACACAGGGGAATTTACATTGTCCAAATGTCTGACTGTTTATTATTCTGTGTTGTTGCTCTGATAGACTTCTGACTTGCATAGAATATACACTCCCTTTTACCTGAAGGATGCTGGGAAAGGCTGCAGTGCCCCAGACCTTGAACAGGATGAGCAAGTTTGAAAAATGAATAGATGGATAATATGCTTTTGCCATCAGTTAAATGCATGAGTCAATATTTACTCTAAAATGGATAAATATCATTGATGTATCTTTAAGGCTATTAAGCTTTTAAGCTATTATTGTGCATTCTGTCCTCCATAAACGTCATGACGAGCACTCATTCTAGACAAATAATGGTCTGTAGTGAAACAATAATGTGCTTTGTGGTATCTGGCAATGACTTCCTTCAAAAGTGGATTGAATTTCATCACAGTTTCATCCATGCAAAACCTTTTCATGAACCACAGGTGTTTGTTTTCCTATTCACATTTTTTACCTATTGAGCCGAGCAGATAAAATGAGAAGAACTAATATAAATCTGATAGTAGTTATTAGTGGATATCAGATCCTTTAAAAGCTGTGCATTAGGTAATTGTATCCATTCAAACATTGTTTATCATAACACGATTACCAATTAAAAGATATGGCAATAATTCAAGTTTTCATTGAAGGCAAAACAAAACAAAACTATTCAACCATATTTTACCTGTTAATGTTTCAACAACATCCACCCAGCCACACTTGTGCTCTGTGGTTGTTGTTGGAGGGGAGAACATGGATCGACAGTAATGAAGGTTCTTACGACCATAGAAGCTGCGATCTATCATTAGGACTTGACCAGAGCCGCACTGTAGAGTGGTGTTACGACCTGCACACACAATGGATCTGCCAGAGTCTGGAAAGAATATAAGGCATTACAAAGTGGTAATTCATCACAGAGTCATTGCTATACTGTTTTTTCACAGAACACAGAATACAGATTACCTACCAAACTGGCAGATAAAGTGCAGTTTTTTGTTGCAGTGTCTTGTGGCTTCCCATTGGAAGCCTGAGTCTCTCAGTATGTGTCCACACTCTTCTCCTGGCTGTGGGCTGCTCACCCAGTTTGAATAGGTTAGATGAGAACCATCCAGCCAAGAGAGAGCACCTGAGGATGGAACAAACCACTGCTGAACATATGCAATGAATGCACAGTTTGAGTTGAAGTTAGGTAGTTAGATTTGGGCCACAAAACCATTTGGTTAGAGTTAGGAAAAGATTATAGTTGACAGCACAGTTTGTCACATCAGACAACTCACATGACTAACAACTAACTAATGAGTAACTAATGACTCAGGTTACAAAATAACTTAACTAATGTTGACTTTTAGTTTCACAGTGGAGACAAACACTGCTCTCCTTGGTCCAAGTCCTGTGCTTATCGGAACAATCCACCTGCCCTAAGCAGACTCTGCTGCTCTTTTTAGTACAACTGACCATCTAATAATTATGTTGTCTGAAACCCCACTGCGTCTCATACAGACGCTAACGGCTACCTTGTGCATCCATATCTAAAGCCGAGGGCCACTGCTGAAGAAATGTTTTTTGATGCCCTGGGAATGAGACCTCAACATATTCAAAAGAGGCAACATATTAAATTTAAAAGCACCAAATACTCTAAAGTTAGGAGTACTCTAAATTTCACTTATTTACAAATCTCATTAATACTGTTAAGCATGAGGCATTTACTCCCTCTTATGTGCCACTCATACCTGTCCCCACAAAACAAGGGCGGGTAGGAACCAATTAGCTCATAACCAAGGGAACACATTGTCTCCACCACACATTACATAGTACGATAAATGACAATGAAATCATAATTTACCAGTAACTCAATAATGCTGAATCTATTACTACTTGAATATAAATAATGTACCCATTGGTAATTAACACAGTAACTCAAGTAATAAAAAATAACCCCAAATTATAATATGTGTATAATGTATTATGGTTGCAATACATTACAGCAGTAATAAATGTTTCCTTATAACAATGATACCCTGTGTAGCCAAAACCCATTGGGTAGTTTATACCTCTGCTATAGACCTCCGTTGTGTCCAAAAACTACGAAAAACATGAATATGAACCACACCGTTGCATTAGGTGACAGGTTTCTTCATCAAAGTGAACAAGGGCGTGTAGGTTGTTATGGATTAATCCCACATAGACTGACTGTGATGAGCATACCTGTTGCCATGCAGAGGATTGAAATGTTGGTAATCCCCCAGCAGACACCTTCTATAGATTATAGTTCATTTTCTCCTTCAGTGAACACATATGTACTCATAGTTTATTTAGTATTGTTGGCAGTACATCAGTTTCTATTTGTATGCACGCATTTAGTTAACTTCATTTTGTCTTTGATTAGTTTGCTTTAAATCATTCTCTCTATTTCTTTGTCCTTGAGTTACCAGTGCTTAGGGTCCTGGTTGTTGCTGCTGGAGAGTCATTTTGGCAGGTGGGAACAAAAGATGCATTCCATAAAGCAAAACTCTGTTCTGCAATAACATTTTTCTGGCTAGTACTCAGTGTCATATCTCAGGGATAGAAGGGGAGACGTTTTTGTCAGATACTGAACTGGTGACACTAATCTTAGGTGTCCACCTTGAAACTGCGCTGATTGTATCGATCTTCTGTGCTGCCAGGGGGGAAAAGATCTATGTAAGGCTTGTTTTTTACAGACATGGATGTAAACTGTAAATGCAACTTGGTGGTAATTCTAGTTTGAAACTTGTAATTTTTGTTTTTTATTTTTTGCACAAATATTGGCAGTGTGTGAAGTCTTTCTCACTCCGCTGAGGGGAAAGAAAAGGCTTCACACCATTAAAAGACTGTAATTATTGAACAGAGGAAAGTGAGAACAACAGCTCAATAGGAACAACATTTTTTCCAAGACACAGAGCCAACTGTGAATAAAGTAGACACATTGCACCAAATGTACCATCATTTAGAAGATCATTGCTATCAGTCACTGTTAAAGTATTCTCCTCAATGATGCACGAAGTTGCAGTATTTCATTAATTGAATCAAATGTGCGAGACACACAAAATCCCTTAAAATGCAGTTGTCATAGACTTTGGGAGAGATTGGCTCTTTAGCATTTTGTTGCAAATGTCTGTAGATTTAAACTCATTTGTCTAAGGTGGATAGACTTATGAGCATCTAAACAAGAGTAGATTTCCACAGTTCATAATTACACTCAAAACTTTATTCCATATTAATTTCAGCCTTCTTACCTTCAACAGTTGAAGAATATTGCAGGTTTGGAGAGGTGGAGGGCGCTACTCCAAGCCAGACATCCCTCTTGGGGTCCATGAGTGTTTGAATGAAATGTTGAGTTTCTTTATCTGGGATAAAAGCAAGGTGTCCATCACGCTGCTCACACCAAGCCTGCGCACTGAAAAAAGTATGCTGGAGATCCACAAACTCATAGCAGGAGCCTCCAAAGGCCGTCTGGTAGCCTGGACAGGAAACAGAAGCCCTTATCTTATCTTCAGCATTAGACAGACAGGTGAGTGTCATCAGGATCATCAGGTGCACAAAGGTCCAGCACATTTTTGTTCTCTTTTCTCTCAGTCTCACATCACACTTTTTAAATTTTCAGTGCTATAAGTGCAGTAACCCTGCTTCACTCTTTTTCTCTAATATTCTCATACAACCCTTATCACATCCTGCTTCAAATGGAAATGAGCCTCTCTCACACACTTTGTCTGTATTCAGTGGAACAACAGTGTTTACCTAACAGTCATCTCTCTGAAAACCAATGAATGCATTACCTTGGCACACAGACAGAGCTGGAACAAAGGAAACCTAGGAGAGTAGCTTCAAGCAGATGGCAGGGTAGCTTGAGGGTAGAGGTTCTATAATAATAATTCTATAATAATAATGTACAGAATTTAATGACAAGGATTTATAGATCTTTATTGTAAAAAATAGGTATCTAGTAGATCAGTTTAATATAGATCTAAGCACTGGCTAACATGCTGGTTCCCTACTTCACTTCATTTAAGAGATGCTAAATAATGTCAGTAAGACAGAGGCTCCCACTGCAAGAAAAGAAATGAGGCCACTTTTCAGTGAGATAAAACATTTAAAATCACCCATCATTCATTTTTTATTACTGAAAGGTGCATGCTCTTTATCCACAGATAGAAAGTGAATTTCACATTCAGATGAAATACAATGAATCCAAAAATATTCTCAGTAATAATTAATCAATTCAATATTGTATATGTATGAAAAAAGGGGTCATTCATAGTGATGAAAGCACAAAAATAAATAAATGACAGGATTGTGCTCTTCTACCCAGCTTTACAGAGCATTATAGCATCCTTTGGCTCATTGTTTTGGTTTTCTCACTGTTTGGCTTTTTTTTTCTCATACAAGAAGTGGTTTACTGGTCATCCATCATACCAGGACAAAACATGGTGGTCTGCTGCATTGGTGGGCTGGTATACTGCCAAAAAATCTAAACATTTTTATCAACTGTCCAGCCCTGTCTGTGTCTTTACCAGCACTCTTTGTGTGCCTGTCATTTGGGGTGCGTGAGTGTGCTGCCTGTTTTGGGACTGGGTTCTCTGGCCAGTCTCCACCAAGTAGCAGGTTGAAAGCTGAGGTAGCCACACAGCTAGACCCATATCAATTTGCATACAAACAACAAAGAGGCACTGATGATGCAATCAGTAGCTGAGTGCATATGGTCACTACACACCTAGAGAAACCGAAGTCCTACGCTAGACTAGTTTGTTGATTTCAGCTCTGCATTCAATACCTTGCAGCCACACACACTAAATCAACTCAGTGTCAACCCAGTCATCATCAGGTGGTACCATTCATTTCTTACTAACTGCACCCAGCAAGTCAGAGTGAACAAAACTCTGTCCGAACTCACAACCATTCATACTGGAGCACCTCAAGGGTGTGTTAGCTCAACTGTGGTGTTCACTCTTATACAAATGAATGCATTAGCCACACTGAAAACGTACGCATCGTTAAATTTTCCGATGATACTGCCATCTTAGGACTTATGCAAACCGATTCTGGTGTGCTGGGGTATAAGTCTGCCATTCATGAGTTTGTACAGTGGCGCGACAAACACCATCTCATTCTCAACACAAAAAAAACTGAGGAGATGGTGTTTGTCTCTGACTCTTGCTGATCATTCAATGATCATCCACGATCCACGAGAGCATAATGCAGGTGGACTCTTACAGATACCTGGGCATCCACATAGATAACGTGGATAGATAACGGGTGGAGGACCCGTGTGGAGGTCATCTGTACCAAAGTACAGCAATGGCTGCACTTCCTGAGAAGGCTGAGAACCTTTGGTGTGACCCCAGAAGTGCAACTCTTTTTCTGTCATGCTGTGGTGGAAAGCCTACTGCGCTATGGGATTTCGGCATGGTTTGGAAATTTGAGAGTCCAGGCCAAGGCCCAAATTCACAGACTAGTAACGACAGCCATGAAGAATATGGGAGTCTGCCAACATCCCAGTCTTCAACATATTTTTCAACAAAGCATAATTAAACAAGCACAGAAAATCATCTTAGATCCAATCCATGTACTCCACCCTTAGTATCAGCTTCTCCCCTCAGGCAGACGGTACAGAATCCCCCTAAGCAAGCACAACCGGTTCAAAAACTCTTTTGTCCCCCTATCTATTAAGGCCCTCAATACCACTTAGGCTGGACTGGGGAGTCGCCATTGTTGTACTTGTATTCTTTCTATTGTTTAGTGTCACTCATCACTGTACTACTGTCATATGTGTGTCTCTGTTTTGTTTTTGTTTTTTTATGATGATGTAAATGGGCATGTGCAATTGAATGGAGGCAGTTGTCCTACTGCTGTATTTTAGTATGTCTGGATGTATGTGTTGTTTTTTTATACTGTTCACAATGCAAACACTGTAAAGTCCAAGACAAATTTCCCACTGGGACAAATAAAGTCAACAGTATCCTATCCTATCCTATATCCTAAGTTTGTTAAACCTGTGCTTATGGCTTCCTACTGTTGCTGCTCTTAAGGAAACTGTTGCTAAATTGTTTTGAGCTTCACAAACTCTGCAAAATGACTCATTTTTGATTGAAATGTTCTAAACAAAAAAACAAAAAAAAAAACAAAAACAAAAAAAAAACACTCTAGAAATGGTTTGTTCTTTTATTATTTTTCATGGAAAATAGAACAGCAGGAAAGAAAAGGTGAAAGTCAGGACAGACCTTTTTGGCTGGCTAATCAAAAAGCAATGAATAAACAGCAAAGACAAACAAAAGCTGGTAATTTCATTCTCTTTTATTAAATTCTGTCCTGCTGAAAGATGATAGACATTTGCTTATCTTTTTGGCTTGTTTGAAAATTTGTTGGCACCTGAGTGAAATAAATGAGTAGGTGATGTTGTTTGGATTTTCCTTTATTTCTTTTCACTTGTTTTCAGTGAATAAGAATTTGTAAGACTGCAAAAAAAAAGAGAATGCAATGCATCAGTTTGATTGTACCAATCGACTGAACAGCAGCAGGTCTGAATTCAACCAACTGGCAAAAAAAGATGTGCTAGTGGCATTATTCTGCAGCCATTTACAATGTTGTTGTTACTTGTCGATCCAAAATGCACCAAGATCTCTATAGCTCTGAAGTTAATTTTAAAGGAGTTTATCATATATTATTATTAGGGGTGTCAAATTATCGCGTTAATTGCGAATAATTAATTACAGCCATATTTAACGCGCTATGTTTTTTGATCGCGTTAATCTAATTTTTAATCTCTAACTTTACTGTTTCTGTATGCCACAGAGTTGCCTTTTATAAAATCCGTCTGTAGGCGTACGATTGGGCTTCTTTGTGCTTGAGTTGTGGGAAAGCTGCAGCGCTACAGAGCAGAGCCCAGCATCAGCATTGATGACTGTCCCCTGCAGTGGTGGTCTGCTCACTTAGGAGCCTATAAAAAGCTGTCTGCCCTAACATACAAGTATCTCACCTCCCCGGCAACCTCCGTGTAATTTTCGGGACAATCAGGGTAGGATTCATGATTCAGGACAACTGCACAGTCCCGAAATCCAAGCAGTTGTCCTGAATCATGAATCCTGCCCTGATTGTCCCGAAAATTACACTAGAGCAGAGTGTGGAGTAGTTACATTAACATTAAACACTGACATTAAAAACTGATCATGGTGGTTGAGTTGTCATACAGCTCCCACCGGCTGCACATTGGCTGCAGCAGTTCCTACATGAATTATGGGTGTTGTAGTTTGAAGAAGAGAAGACAGCATAAATTTCAGCCGCAAGGACAGGGAAAGCGCAGGCAGCCACGAGAAGGAGTGATTTGCACATTGCAGTGCAGCCTCTTGTTCTAACTGTTCAAAACTGTTCTATAAACTGATACAGCTGTAACGAATGTACCAGGTGTCTTTTATTTTGTTAACTTTTATTTTTTATTAAGTTTAAAGGACAAGTGCACTTATATTGATCACTTCCATGAAATAAAACAAGAAATTGGAAAAGAGTAAAATAATTTAGAAAATTGTTAAAATATAATTAGGGAACTGATCACAGATGTATTGTTTCTGTGTGTTTTTACATCTATTGTTGCGTTAATCTGCAATGAAGCTGACATGTCATGACATTCAAGCATGCTCATTCAAGCAGTCTCGACCCCTGGTGGTCGAGACTGAAGGTTGCAGCACTCTTTATTGGGACTAATCTCAAAAACAATAGAATGTAATGGCTAGGTGTACTGCATCTGTGTTCAAGTGTGTTATTATGACTTTATAAAACCACTTTTTGTAATATATATCAATCTTTTGATCATCTGCCACAATAATGTAATGAATTTAAATGAAAATACCTCAAGTTGATGGCTTTTCTCAGCAATTTTGAGATGAGATTAAAAAAGAGATTAATTAGATCAATTAATTACAGATCATAATTAATTAATCTCTCCATTTTTTTAATCTCTTGACAACACTAATTATTATATATATTTAGTATATAATGACAAAAACTCTGTCTGTGGGTGTGTCTGTGTCTCTGTTCCACGTTTTTCTCCTCACTGACTGGGTCAATCCATGTGAAATTTGGCACAGTGGTAGAGGGTCATGGGAGGATGTGAATGAAGCAATATTACATCAATTGGCCAAAGGGGGGCGCTATAGCAACCGATTGAAATTGCAAACTTTGAATGGGCATATCTCATGCCCCGTATGTCGTAGAGACATGAAACTTTGCACAGAGATGCCTCTCCTCATGAGGAACAAATTTGCCTCAAGAAGACCATAACTTCCACTTATATTGATTTTCTGTTATTTTGAATTTTTTGACAACAGTTTGACTGATCTGCATGAAACTCGGTGAACATAATCTAGGGACCAATATCTAAAGTTCCCTCTTGGCAAAAGTTGGAAAACTTACTAAAACTGAGCTTCTATAAGGGAATGAATATTGCTGAGGGCGTGGCTCATCACATAAAGGTGTATAACATCTCAAGGGTTTCACTGATCACCCTGCAACTTTGTAGGCATATGACCACACATAATCTGAGGGGACCCCTCCATTATTGACCC